TTCTGCGCGCTGCGAGGCGCACGTACTCCTAATGATTTTAGTGTACCGTGGTATACCCTCTCTGGCAATATATAGACGGGCACGTATAGCCACGTATCGTATCTGCGTTACCGGGGCGCAGTGTAATATGTCCCGGAGATACCCGAGGGGGTGGGCGACTTAGGGAGGGTACTTTCCCGGGACGGTCTTGCGGGATTCTTAATGGCGAAGGGTCTCCGAGGTAACACTATGGCTATTAAACGCAGCCCTACTACTTCGTCTTCTCTTCCGACACACTCCTTCATGTATGTATCTCTTCTCATCCCCCTCCCCCCTGTGCGAACTTTGATACAATTTCAGATAGCGCGATCTAAAATTTCAATAAGAAATTTGTAAAAAAATTTGTATTTCAAAAGAATCTAGTTTTCGTAAATAATTCTCAGGAAAAATCGAGACTGATTAATTTTACTTTACGTTGTGATAAGGAATTACGCAAATTTTAATACATTTTAACTATCGAGCAATATAGCAGAATTATTAAAATATAAACAAATTTGAGTGAAGCTTTATAATCAACAATTCTCTCAAAGCAAGATTCTAATTAATTTCTAATTGATAAAATTTGTGTAAGTAAAAAATAAAATTTAATTGTAGCTAGCCAAGTTCGGGAAGAAATTGCTAAGGAAAAAAAAAAAAAAAACTTATGGACAGCGAAACAAGTCTGCAAGTAAAATTACAGTCACGCGTGAAAGATCATTCGGGAGGAACGGGATTCGGGAGTGGCGTGACGCTACGGGGGTAAGTAAGGAAAATGTAAGCCCGGATCAACCGCGCTCATCCCCTTTGGCGTCGGCGTTTGACGCGACCGCTGAAATTTTTACTTCGTTCGATTTGGTCTTTCGGTGAGATTCTCCCCGTCCTCTGATTGGTGGACCCTGGCCACGCCCTGCACGTAAGGGTGACTCGCTCGCCCGAGCACTATCAACCCTTATGTATGCCCGATGCGAGCACACTTACGTGCCGGCACGCGTGCACATGTGTTTATCTGCGAATGTGTGCGTCGTGTGCTGCACGTGTAGGGCCGCAGACTCCACGAGTACATACGTGAAATACATACGGCCGATACATAGGCATAGGGATGTATATATCGGGTGGGGTTTCGTTCGAGAGACGGCAGTGGCTTTCGATACGATACGGTCGATCGAACGGCTCGTATTTTCGATATCGGGGCGTTATCTCTTGGGAAGATAAGCGCGCACCACAGGATGCCTGAAAAATATTTCGACACCGTTATTGGTGCCTGTTGTATAGTTATGCACGTGTGCATATGAGGAGAGAGTATGAGTGCCTGAAACGTTACAGAAATTGCTCATTACATCGCTGACAGGACAAGGAAACAATTTGACAGAGAAAGAATTTTATGAGAAGCAGCTATATCCATATCTTTCAGAGTTTCAGAGTTAATTCAAATATCAAGATAAATATTTCTAAAAATTCTCGATAAATATAGAGAGAAGAGAGAAAGAGCGAGAGAGAGAGAGAGAGAGAGAGAGAGAGAGAGAGAGAAGAA